CTTGGGGAAATGGAAATGGAGGACCAAGAGGACGGTAAGCGTACATTTTCGTCCATCGTTCACACAAAATATGCTAAAGCTTATAAAGTTTTGAGTCGTAAGTGACTATGTAACTGTGAAACGTTTTCAAGTTATAAAGGAATCTTATAAGCAGCTGAGCGAAAAATAATGTTCACTTCGTTGCATGAATTTTGCAGTGATGCTATCTATGCTGAGTCACATAGCATGAAAAAACTGCCGAGTCTAGGGTGAAAGGTTAACGATAAATTGCTTTAATTCGTACAAGACGTTTTAAAATGCAGAAAATAACGCTTAATTTTGAAATTGGGAGGAGAGATAGAGCTTCGGAGATAGTTAGGACTTAATGCTTGAGGCGTTTGAAAACGTTCCAAAGCGACAGCTTCGCTAGTCAATTGGACTTCGCGCTGAATTTGAAAAATTAAGCTTAGTACTTGCTGCATGTTGATGCAATGCTTCAGTTAGGTTGAAGTTTACCTTCACACGTCATGTTTTCGCCCGGCCAACAAGTTCGTGCACAGGGCTTATTAAAATTTACAACAACATGGTCACGTAATTTATTCGAAGTGTCGTGTTATCATCACGTTCGTCTTACCGGTAGTAAATGTTGTCGTTATAACAAGTTCTTTGCATAGAAAAGTGTTACCATATAAGCTACAGATATATTGGTTTCAGCGGCTTTGATTGTAAACATGATAAAATACCAGAGCGTTTAACTCCTTACTAAGTATTTGATCAACGAAGAAATATGATTCTTGAGTTTTCTGGAAAAGTAAACATTGACATAACACCGGGTAATTTCAAGAGAAATTGCCCGCTGTTATCTTAGGGAGTGTTGGATCGTTGATTTAGAAAAGCGACAAAGACTTGCTATATTTCGAAGACTGTGAGAAGATCATAGCAGTTGAAAGGATATAATATTTCTTAAATGTATGCAAATTGTGAATTCAGGCCGTTAAAATTAAGCGGATTTACATGCAATTATACTTTTTATGGCAAACGTTCATAGATGGATTGCTTATGTTACAATTCTGCTAAAATAATTATTTGAAGGTTTGATCTCCAAAAAAAGTTTAGGTGATGTTGAAATTTAACGAAGATCTAGAAGTGGAGTTTTATTATGTGGTCTGTTTT